TGAGAGTGTAATTTTCTCTAATAGTACAGTTGTCTTCTTCAGGAAAGATTAGCATGTCAAGTAGTCTCTTCAGGAGGGCTCCACAACCTCTGAGCTCAGACAGGCACCATCTCCTGTTAAGGGTGGCACAGAAAACTCCTCTGAGTTGACATCAGAGAGACTGATGAACTTTCAGACCCCTCCCATGAAGTGGTGCAGGTGAACATGCCACCAAGGAGCTGCTGGTGTCTTTGCATGCCTTCCCATTCTGTCACACAGAGCGGTTCTGGTACAGAGATGAGATCCTGCCCACGTATTCCTGGAATAAAACACTCCTGCCCCAGCATGAGAAGCTGCCCCAGTCAATCTGCTCTGCTGAAGGGCTGACAAATTAGCTGAGGTTCTGCACTGGAAATGGTCCCATTTTATTTTTACCTCTTTAAACTCTACATGACCCAGCACTTTTTAAGACAGGAAAAGTGAAGGATTTGCCTTATTTCATCATGGCTCAAAATGAAGCCAATCAATTTGTATGTAACACTTCGCAATTTCTCTCCAGCTCTATTTATTGCTGTCAGGCCTTCTTCAGTAAGAGGAAGTGATATTAATCTGGACCTGAGAGTGGAAGCATCCATTTTACATCTGGAATTGTTCCAGAGGGAAAATTAAGCTTGTTCCTCTGTGTGTCACATCACTGCTTCATGTAGATTTGCATTCCAGTGAAGCTTAGAAAACTTATATAGATCTATGTATTGGTTACTTACTACCAAAACAGTATCACAACAATTGGCCTTATAAATACACTAAGGAGGTAAAAATGAACAGGATTTTGTAAGCTCTAGCACAAAGGTCAGTGATCACAAAAATATTCAGGCAAAAGCCAATTTCAATTTCAGCTTTGCAAGAGCAAAAAATAAAGATCATGTAACCATTTCTGTTGCTGCCATGACCACATATTCCAGGCCTGGATGTCTGATTTCCTTCCCATTTACCCTCCTTCACTCCCTACATTAAGTGCTGTATAAACAAAGGCCACCTTTTGGGTCTGTACTCCTAAGGGCTGGAAATGATGTCTAGGGATGACACTGGAAAGCAAACACCCATAGATGGATACAGACAGATGGAAAAGGACAAGGAAAAGGAGAGTACCAGTCTCCTTTGGTAGTGAGAAGTGCCATCTAGTGTTTTCATACTTTTAGGGGTGGACTTCCACACACAAGAAGCTCCATAGAACAAAACATTAAATTTCTTCTGTGGAAGCATAACAAGAAGACAGTGCAGACTCCTATTGTTGACTAATCATAAACACGAATCAGTATTTAGGTAGGCTAGGATACAACTCACAGGATAGAGATTGGCCTTCAGAAGCCTTGGAAGGGGGGGTCAACCACCAAATGATGGATGTTATGGAGTAAGATAGATGAGGGGAAATACAAAAAGCAACAAGTGTTTGGCTTCAAATAGACAGAAAAATACTATTTTTAAATTACAACACTGAGTGGATATGAACAGGCAAGACTGTGCTGTTTAAGGCCAGAGGCAAGGGAAATTTTGATTAGAAATTTTAAAACTAATACAAACATGACATAAATTACAGCCTTAGATAGATGGATAAAAGGATTTCAGGCACAGAATAAACCAGATGCAGACACAGTCTGGATGTGAGAACAGAGAGAGAATTTTGAGTCAAAGGCAGTGCAGTGACTTGCAGGATAGTGAGCTGCACCCAGCAAAAGAAAAGGAGTTGGCTCAGGAAAATTAATTGCAAACATACTTCCGACCAGTTTGCTGCTTACTGTTGGTTGCTGGGGGCTTGTTTGCTGACCTTAACTTCAGCAAGTCAGCAAATATACCACAGATGTGCAACACAAAGATGACACAGGATTCACTGCAATCCAGACTGACTGTGCCCTGCAGACACAGCCAGTTTGTACATGGCAATCAATGAGCCAGATGCAATTGTAACTCTGCTAACTGCCTGGAAATGATGCATTTTTTAAAAACTGAACAATTTGAGAGACTGTATCGCATTCATTACCATTTCAATCAACAGCAGCACAATGGAGCACTGACAAGATTTAAATGACTGCCCAATATAAATAATCTGAAAGGCTCACGATAACTGGGGAAGAGATTATTTACAGACTATTTTATTATAGGCTTCCTATTTGGCTAAGATATTGTACATGTGAACTTCTGCGTCAGCCATAGCTGTGCAGGCAGCTCTTTCAGAGAGAGAGATAAGAAAAGAAATAAGGTTGGGGAAGGCGTAATGGAGGCATGGAAAATTGATTTTCAGACTGACGGTGACCTTGACTGAGAGGTTGAACATGAGCTGTGAAGCAAACAATGAGGATGGGAACAAGCTGCAGACAGCAAAACTGCAAAGTTTGTTTGGAATCAGGGATCACAGACAAATTCTGACAGCCTGCCCCTGCCCCCATAATCAAGTGCACTAAGCATGTGATGATTTTTTAACTTGCAGGGACTTTTTTAACTTGCAGGTATTTATGAAAGCACTACAGAGCTCAGACACTATTTCTCTCAGAGACAGCATTCCAGAAGGATGTTACTCAAGTCACTTGTGATGAAAAAAAAAAAGAGAAATTTCTATATAATGTTATCAGTTATTTTATCACATTGTGATAATTCCATTTGCTCACATACTCACAAAATATTTAATCTAAATCATTTTCTGCTATGAAATTTTTTAGAATGGGTCTGCAGACATGAAAAGATTCACAGAAAGAATGCAGTCACAAAGGAGGGAAAAAGCACTGCACATGATGCAGTTAAGAAAGGCGGGGAAGAGTGGCTGCCTGACCTTTGAAGTTTGTCATGGAGTTATGGTGTCAGATACAAACTGCTCTGAACAGTTTGTTCAGAAGTGCAGAACAACCAGGGACCATGTTACTCCTAAATTACTGTTTCTCCAGCAAGAAGCAGTTAAAGAGGCTCTGCCTTTATTTTCTTTCTGTGCCTTTTCTATTGTGTAGTTTGGGGAAAGGAGGGACTGACAAGTTAGGTGATGTCTGCACTCAGAATGCCCTGTCAGCACAGGTATTATGTATTATAATATTATGCATATACCATGCTGGCACAGCATTCCAAGGCAGATGCAGCTTACAACAGCAAAAAAAGATTTTTACAGTATAACTTCTCGATTACCTGTGAATGACAAGATGTTTTTTATGCACAAGTGACTTCAGGTTACACCCCAGGTGCTGATCTGTGCATAATTGCCTCATCACAAAATCAGTAGTACAGTCCTGGCCTTTGAGCTATGGAGGAACCTCTATTCTACCTAGAAAACACTGCTTTGGTTTCTTAAGATCTCTAGAGTGGCATATAAAGGCTGGAGAAGGACAGAGAATATGTGCTGGATTTCTTCCCTGTCTAAAGCTCATTCTGAATGAGAATTTGAGGTCTACAAGCAAGGAAAACTGTACAGTGTTCAGAGATGTAATATTACAGCATCGAGGTCCTTTGGCCCCTGCACAGAGATCCTCTGAACTCACAGGGCACCAGCACAGCTGCAGTGCATATGGGTGGTCAGCCTTCAGCAGGGCTGAAATCCAACCCACTATCGCCAGTAGTATTGGAATTTCCTACAAAATGTGTTTCTGAATAGAAATCACGGTACTTATTTTTGTTAGTGTGCTCAAGGCTCTGTTCTGAAACGATACATGCCCTGAAACAGAGGTGACTGGGAAATGAAAACCCTCCAGTTTTTAAAAAATCAGGCCAATTCACGATTACAGTTTTTTAAAACTAAGGTTTGTCAGGGAAAGGGAGTTTCTGAATATCCCAGACCACTGAGGTGGATTATCTGCCCGTTCTGTGCTTGCTGCTTATGATCAATTCAGTTCTACTGTCCAATACTCTAGGTAGTGAGGTGGTTTTCTTATTTTTCTGGAAGCATTTTTTTTATTGTTTCAATAAAACTGAATTTTCACAAGTAATATTTAAACTTTTGAAAAGTAGTGTATTCTCCATTTGAAAATCATTCCTTCAGAAAATTCCCAGCTAACTTCCAACCTACACAGCAGCTGGAGCAATTAGCTCTGTGTGATAGCAGAGCTAATAAATAACCTTGGTATCAAGGTTATTATAAGCAGTTCAATTGCCAGGCTAGACAAAGAATGCTTCAGGGCATTCCCTCATGGTAGAAACAGCTCCTGCAAAAAGCTTGTCTCAATTTCCCATTTCCAGTGTCTACTTAAATTAAGCTAATCAGCTTTCTTTTTTTGTTGTTTTTTTAGGGGCTTGGGGGGGCAGGTATAGAGGTCTATTGATCTCTTAACTGATAGTGTTAATAAGCTTCCATACCAGACTTCCTTGACTTGGAATCTCCTCCTGCTGTTCCCTTTCAACTGCAATCAGAGGGGTTTTCTCTTAGCTTGGAGAGTCCATATTAGGCCAATCTTCCATCAGATACATGGTCAGCTTCACTCATCTAATCACTCTCAATTCTGAGGCTGAGATAACAGGCATATCTTTGTCCCAGATGAAAGAAGGAGAAACCTTATAATGCAGGATCCTTCATCGCAGGCCCTTAAGGGGACAGTGGCCCTACATTCTAACTTGCTCCTGACATTAATAACTCCCCAGACACTCTTCTCTCTAGCAAAAGCTACATCAAATATTTTTTTAATAGATTTCCTTAGGCACATGAGCCTTGCAAAACATCCCCTCTGGCCTTAAAGGGCCAGTGTTCTGCTGCAGCCAACAAAAGATTGAAATATGTTCTTTAGGTATGATGAAAAATAACTGAAAAATTCAAGCGTTTACAACAAGGGTTAGCAATTCAACTGATAAAAGAAAAAGTTACACCACAAAAAAAAAAAAAAAGAAAAATCATCAGACCTGATTGTAGGAGGAAGGAACTGAGAACTGGGACATCACTGAGTCTATTCCACAGTTTTAATTTGCAGGTAGAGCTGAGATATCATGAAAACTGCATTGCAAAAGGGGAGCTGCTCAGGAACTGAGTAATTAAATAATGCCACTATAAATTCCAGGAAATCTGCAGATGAAATGACTGAGCTGCTGCCTAGGAAATTCTAAAATGTCAGATATTCTACAAAGGAACTGGACTTAGCAAGGATTACGGCTTCAGGAATGACAGGCTGCAGAGCCCTCTGGCAGTGCCGGGCACACCGTGAGGACCCCAAAATCCCGCTCCCAGACCCCCCTCTCAGCCCGCCGCCCTCCTGCTGCTCGGCTGCGCCGCCTCCTGCTCGCCGGCTCCAGCACAGGCTGCTGCGGGAACGAGCCACCGGCGCAAGGAATACAGCGCTGAAGAACTTCCCCGCACTGCCTGAGGCCAGGCCGGGGACACGGCAGCCCGTGCCTGGTGACACAGCTGTGAACAGGATGCGTGAATACTGGAACGCCGCACTGTCTACATCCTTTCTGGACCCTTGGGAGGGCCGACGTGCTCACAGGTGTTTTCAGATTTTGGTTACAGGCACAGTTTAGGGTTCACGGCAATTCAGATCATCAGGTTAGATCTGCACCATGGACATTTCTCACAATTGCTACCAGAGCCACTGTCCTTGTCCTCTGGGCTGTCAAACAGCAAGTTCCAGGGCCCAGAGCAGGAAACACACATTAAAAACTTCCCTGTCCTGTTGCCAACTCTGATGCTGACATGGAGTGTTTTGAATAAGCACATCACCACCCTGAGTCTTTTACTTACCTCACTGTAAACTGGATAGAACATTTATTTCTCCAGGGTGACAGGGCTTGGGTGTAACTTTTCACCGCAGATGGGGCCTTAGAGAACTGCAAACTATGTTACTTCAAAAAACTGACAGAAACACCTCTCTGAGGACGGCACAGACTGGGAGCTTGCAGTGTACATTCAACAGAAAGAAGCACAGCAATCCAAACAATTCCATAAGACCTTTACACTGAGCAGCTTTTCATATAATTTTTTTCCAGACACATTCTAAACCTCTTTGTTTTTTTTCCAGGAACTGCCAACATTCAGGTTACATGGTGATTTTCAGGTGCCAAAACTCTCATTTTTGCCAAGCATCCTGAATGACTTGGGCATAGCAAAGAAACTGAGCTTCTTAGCAAAAAGCTTAGGCACGACACAACTTGGGAGTCAACTTGATAAACTCCTCACTGCAGGCGACCTGGCCTCATCAACCCTGGCTACAAAGCCCAACTACAAAATACATCTATTATGTAAAAATTCTGCAGCTTGGACCCCGAAGCCTGAGGCTGCTCCAGCAGAGCCACAGAGGGGACGTACCCAGGGCCCAGAGCTGGAGCTCGGCCGCGAGGTGTCAGCGCTCCCCCGGCAGTGCTGGGCTTGGGCTCCGCGGGGAAAATCCCTGGAGCGTCAGAAAGGGACACGATCCACAGCTCCTGACAGCACTGCACAGTGCAGGAGGTCCAAACCGGTCCATCGGTCCCTTCTAACCCCTGGAAAAACCTCCAGATCAAGGAAAATAAACTGTAGCAAGTTCATGAATATCACAAATTCCTGTGCTGACCTGCCAAATACTGCTGCAGTATTTGTGTTTGGGATTCTCAGAGGATTAGGCCTCCTCCCTGATTGGGAAGCATGCCTGGGTCGGTGGAGCAGGCAGGAATGCAGATATTCCCAGCAGCTGGATCATGAGCACAAACTAGGGAGCCATTTCTGCTACTGCCTAGGGACACTGACAGGCTGGTTGTGTATAGGAGACCCAAAGCATCAGTGTCTGAGTAACAAAAACCACTCGAGTATTGCAGGAGTGCAGAGGTGTCTTCTACTTACATTTCCACTTACATGAAATGTAAATAGAAATAGTAAGAGGGCATTAACAATTTTTTACTTAAGTAAGCCATCCATAAGCACATTTGAAGATTTTTCTGGTTTTATCTTTTACTTCTTAAAAGTCACTTTCAAGTGACTTTTATCACTTGAATTTCTAAGCCTTGTTGCACATCCTTTCTTCAGAGCTTTCACTGAGAACAGGGTAAGAGTGAGATCCTGCTGATACCCAAGTGGCTTTGGTGACCAAGTCCCCTCCCGGGGATCCCCTGTCCCATCCATCAGTGTGCCGCCCTCCTCTGCCTGCCCAGTCACAGCCCTGTTGCCTGCTCCTCACAATGGGCAGAGGTTACCAGCTGGCACGAGGGAATCGAGAGTGCAGCAAAAGCCACACTCTGAATTGCATCTACAAGAACCTGTAAGTCTCAATACACCAGAGAGGTCCATCTCAGCTGATCTGATAACACTTTTTAAGAGTACCTAAGGCAGGTCCTCAGCAAGAACTGTCTGGGGGAAAAGTAGGCATATTCTTTCTTCTACTACTTCCCTCAACATCTAATCCTGCACTTCTTTACATTAGTGCCTTCCAACCCATGAAGTGAGTCACTTAGATGAGCTCTAGGAAAGGACTTTGCACAGAAGAGGACACATAAATGACATCAGAGGGAAATAGATTGATCTGTCCAAATCTATTTGCTATGTTTTAGTGACATCGCTGTCTGAGCCAGCAGCAGAGACAGAGATGCCACAGGAAGGGAACAGGACAGCAACAAAGAAAGGGAATTGTAGGAGGTCTGGGCTGGCTAGGGGGGACAATGGGAAAGCTGCAGTTGCTAGGGGAATACTAAAGCCAAACAGAACTGATTGCAGATCTCCACCTTCAATTCCTGAAGGTGAGGTTCCTCTGCAAAAAGTCTGGGAAACCATTGTGCTGCATCACTGGAAAGAATTGTGAAAAAAATACAACTACATTTTTAGGAGTGGTGAGGGCTCTGAGGATTGCTTGACTTATCTCATGGAAATTCAGAAGCTTAATGACAAAACTCCTGCTAAAAAGACACTTGCAGGTAGATGGAATATGGGACAAAGTTAACAAGGTACCCTAGACTTGTTTGTCCTCACCAGCACAGAAGGCGCATTTTCTCTTCCATGAAGAGCCACTGCATGCAGCTTAGAAGGCTGCAGTGCAACTACATTGGGGCTTGTGAGCTGAACTTTGAGAACAGGACAAAATGAGAGTGAGAGCATCTGGCTGAGGAGAGGGGCACTCCTTTAATTTCTTGTGCCACAACACAAGGCCATGACAGCAAATGTTCACAGCGTTTGCACTCACTGCTCTCTGAGAGTATTCTCAGTATGTGCTACAGCAGTAGGTATTTAATGAGCATTAAGGTAATAGATTTACTGGAGCTCCAAGAAGAGATGGATTTTGATGCTAAGCACTGCAGTGTTTTTTGACTGAAACACTGTTTACTTTGAATCTACAAAACAGGAAATTCTTATGTCATTGCTAATCTGACCCTGGTTGCATTCTGGTGGCAGCCAGTTTTTATTTCTAGTTTTAGTTATTTTCCCTCATTCACTCAGCAACGTATTTTAAATAAAAACCTGAAATAAATAGATGAACACATAAGATGCTTTTGTTTATATTGCAGGTACAACACTGAAGAATTAATTTGTAGATATGGACGTCCCCCCAACACACAATACAGCATGACACAGTTCCAGGATGCTCTGCCGAGATCAGAATCAACAAGGATTTCTCTCTAGAGATCTCACCAGAGGTGTTGCAGCAGAAAATCATGCTAGTCTGTCTAACTGACAAACAATTAGGAGTTCCTGACAACCATGCACACCCCTGAAGCCATGCTTGCAGATGGCTGGTAACTAATACTCTTTTTTAAAAAAGACAACCAACTTCAGTAGGATTTTGTAAAAAGCCATGGCATGGCAAGGTTTAAGAGCAAAAGACAGCATATTTCTGTCACATTGTGCCACACAACTGAAAATACCACTATATTTTTAAAACACAGGTATGTGCAGAATGAGCTTTCACTTGGGAAGCTGTTATGAAGAGGTAAAATTGTTTTTCATTGTACTAATTTTTCTTTAATTTTAGAGAAAAGCTCTATATATTTTATGACAACTGTTTAACCATCTTAAAGCAACAAGGTTCTAGACTGCAGATTATATTGGTATGGCAAGATTTACTGCCTGGGGATAGGTATTTTTTAAACAAACAAAAATATCAGGAAGCAGATACAGTATGCCCTGTATTGTCCAAAGACATGTATTTATCATAGCAGAAACTGTGAATAATGAGTTATACCTGCAAATCACCATCAAAAAGATAACTTCTTTGATTCTGTTTTAAATGAAAGCATGTTGTTTATATCCATGATAATGGCTGCACTCAATCTTACACAAAGTTGTCTTCTTCTAATTTAAATACCAGTGTCAAAGGACTAGACGAGATACATTGTTAACTCAGTTTTCAGATTTTTATGGCATCCTTGGAGTCAGTTTAACAGAACAGTCGTTGTTTTCATGCCCCAGTTTGAATCTGGTCTTGGCTGTCTCTTACTCTGAGAATAAGCTGAAAAAAACCAACAACTGTGGTTTGTAAACGGGACCCGATGATCCAATGGTCCCATGTGGCCATGGTATGTTTAAAGAGATCTTAATAACCTCATCCAGTATCCTGCCTCAGACAGGATTTACAGGCAGTATCTTTGCCCTGAGGTTTGCTATCATGGGGAAAAGTAGAAGAACCTATGAGGCTGGGACTGCAGCAAGGGAAAAACAGATTAGATTAGATGCCTGAATTTTGATGTCTCAAGATCATTTCTACCTTCAATCATCTATAATGTAAAGAATATATAACTACAGTATTTAAGAGATGCCTGCATTTGGAAGAATTTGGATTTAAAAATGCACGATGCTCCAAGACTGGTGTTTTTAAATGAAATCACATCCCCTAGATAGAGAACTTTCTCAGTATTACTCTACACTTAACGAGAGGAGAGCTTCTCTCTCCAACACCCCAGGACTGCCAATACAAATCAACTTTCAGAATGCAGTCAATTTACCACAAGTATCTCCTGAAAATATAGATAATAGGTATTTAAGACCCGCTTCCATGGTACAAAACTACATCTCCGAAGACTGCTCAGAATTTGCCATTTAACCTTTAAAAGCCTGCAATGCCAAGCAGTTCCTCATGTAGTCATTCTTTCCAGAAACACTAAATGACGTATTAGATTTGGGCTAATAAAATGATAATAAACATTGGGCTTAAAATTCCAGCCCAGAGCCTTGAGGGAGCAGAGGCAGAATTTCCCATCCTTGTGGCATCCCGCACATCTCTTCCCTGGAGTTCAGGTTGAGTAAACAACATCACAGAGGAAAAGAAGGGCAACAGAAAGAGAAAAGCGACTTTGCTGCCACATGGTAAAGGAGACTATTTCAAAGGAGTCTATTATTTCTCCTGCCTTACAGGCACAGAGTAACAAATGATTTGTCCAACATTATTTATCTCCCAAACTGGTGTCTTCTTTCTCCTGCTGCTGCTCTTCTCCCTGTAAGTCCTGCTCATGTGTTAGAGCTACCCAGTCCCTGCTGCTGCCTGCACTAAAAGTGTTCAGAGCTCCTCTCTTGTAGTCTCTGCCCTTCACACCGGGAGGAGCCAACAGCTTCCCACTGGAACAGGACTTGTGCTGCTCTGCTCACTGCCTCTAAAGCTGGGCTCTCTGGATGTACAGTGGCTCCCTACGATACAATCCAGAGGCAATGAGCACAGACAAGGAAGACGGGCTTTTACTCCTCTTGTGCAGGCCCAGCATTCACACAGAGCCTGTCAGGTCCCTCCGGATGGCATCCCTTCCCTCAAGCATGGGAACCACACCGTGCAGCTCAGTGCCCTCAGCCCCACTGTCCATGGCACCGACAGAGCTGTTAAACAGCACCAGTCCCAAATCCAACTCCTGAGGAACATCATTTGTCAAAAAATATTTTTTTTCCTCATCTCATGGTTCACTAAAATGAACAAAAATGTTCTGGAAAAATTATTTTTAAAAAAACTATATTCTCCTAAAGACATCCATTCTTGATATTCCTTCTTTTAATGCAGAGTCCACTGGAGTTTCAGTGGTATTTTTGGAACTCCCAGCACAAAGACCAGTACCTGAGTATCCTTAACAAACTCCCACTTACTGCTATGAATAGAGAAAGCATTCATCATTTTATAAAAATTGAGTGGAAATAATCTCATACTAGTAAAAATGTCTGAAAAAAGTACAGAGAGAAATATCAGACCCACATGAACTGTCAAGTAAATGTTCCTTCCAAAAGCAAAGCATTAAAATGGCATTCTGGTATTCCAGTCAAATGTTAGTGATGTGAACTTACAAGTCCTAGAATAATACTTTGCTTCACTCACAATATTTCATTGTCCTAAGTAAGCTGGTGCGTTTGGTGGCAGGATGTTTTACATGTTTACACTTTACAGCAAATGCACAGGACACACAATATAGTTGCAGGTAAAATGAGGGATATTTAAGAGAGAACAGTGTTACATATTCTGACTTCTACTTAATGAAAGGATAAAACTCCTGGATGAACAATGTACATGCATGGTACATATAAATATATATATATATCTACATATGCATAATGAGTGTGTACACACACCTAAAAAGAGGCTTTGTGCAAACTTGTTAAGTTCAAGAATAGGAAAGAAATCTGAAGCAAGTACCTTTAAAATCTGAGTAGCAGATTAATAAAATTTCAGTACATACATGGTTTATTATGTAACTAAGATGCATGCATTTATATGCTATTTAACATATTTTGTTAACTATTTTTCATATATGTCATATCTGATGTACATATGCTTTATGTATTATATTTTAGTTACCATATTCTACATTACATATTAAAGTCACTTGGATTCAATGTTATGTTTGGTCTCTAATCAACATCACTTTATTATTTTGTATGGCGTTAGTGAATTTACTATTTTCCAGCACTGCAAATTCATTGTTCAGCAAAAAACCCTCCTACTGTTTATGAATGATTTATTTTCTTTAAATCCCCAGCCTATATCAAAGGCTTATAGATGCAAAATTCGCTGCTTCTCTAATTCTTCTCCTTGTGTAGGAGAACCCGGCTTATAAGTCAATGAGCACTGGGAGAATCAGAATATTGAGAAGTTAGTAGATTATCAAGTGTATGTAATTTAGAAAGTGGATTAGTTTCTAAACATAGGCACTTACTGCTTTGAGAAGTGCCAGCCACGTTTAGGAAGGGAAGTTCTGGTCTCTATGAGGAATTTGTCCTGATCTAACTACCTTTTTCCACATGCCTTATAAATTAGCTGATTGACTCCTTGAAGAAAGCACTAACTTTCAGGTGCATCTGAAAGTGTCCCACTTTCAAAAGTCTTGACTGGCTGAAGAAATAAAGAAATTGAGTTAGATCTGGCATAACAGAGCACAGACTGGAGTTTGAAGTAACTAAGTAGGTATGCACAGCAAATTTGCCTTGTCTTTCTAACTGTGGGAAGACATATAAGTAACATGATATTTACAAATACTTTAAAACTTCAGCAAGATAAAGATGCATCATTTTTGAAGTTGAAAAAACACACTTCTCAATTTTTTCTGTAGCCATTCTAAATAAAACTACATAGCTCCCCATTTTATAAATACTATAATAAAATACTAATATCAATAGAAAACTGTTACACTACTATAAAATTATTGTTCATCTGTATTTTACCATAGTTGCAGATTAATTTACATCCAGACATACAGGGCAAGTGCCACCTGAATTACTGCAGCATTATAATATATTTTCTAACCTGCGAACTCCAAACTAACTCTCTGTGGTGCCAATCACCATTTCCACTTGAAAGTCAAGGAGTACTCAGGATGCTAAGCAGGTTCCTGAATAGTAACTTTAGTCTTATATTGAGTTTTTAAACGGATTCAGTCATAAGCATCTGTCATTCAATTACAAGGACTTTTCAAAGCAACAATTTGCCTAATGTTAGCATAATTGTATCCATGCATTAATGCTCTTAAGTAGAAAATTGCAGAAGGGGAAGGAAGAAGAACAATTTTTCCATGATGGAACATGAATAGACTGAAAGCTGGCACAATCTGAAATGCAATAGTAATCACTCCAATGCAAGGAAGTACTAACTCACACATTCCTATCAGGGGACTTTAGAAGGTGCTGAGAACCCTCATCATCTTGAACAATGAGGAAGGTAATGACAGGCATGGAAACAAAAATGAAAGGGACATGATTCAGCTGGTAATACATTAAGAAGGAGCACCTTAATCACCAAATATTCTGAGCTGGAAGGGACCCACAAGGCTCACTGAGTCCAACTCTTAAGTGAATGGCCCATATGGGGATCAGACCCACAACTTCAGAATTATTAGCACCGTGCTCCAACCAACTTTCTTAATACAAATGGAACAAGGAAAGGCATGTTGCTGTGATTACAGAAATAAGCAAAACACCAGGAAACACGCAGGGGGTGATGCACCAGGGGTGTGCCAGATAACAACCCACGGTGCTCTGAGGTACCTTCTGGCTCTGAGGTACCTTCTGGCTGGCTACAG